TTTGTGGGAAGGGGGGATTTCTCTTACCCAGAGGTCCAAGTTCTGAAGGAGAGTAGCTCTACTACTTACCCATGTCAGTTATTCAATTATAGGGGTACACATAACAACACTTCCAATCAAAGAATATATTCCAGGGGAAGGATTAAAAAAAAAAGCTGAAATGAAAAGAGCATTAGAGGATTAGAAGATACAAGCACACCTAGCAAATAACAGATGAATATGAAGATGAGTGTTACAAAAGCTGAAATTAAAAAGTGTATTTGATATACAAACAGCCTTTAAGGACAGATTATCAAAACTGCATGCAAAAGTGTTGAAAAAGCATTCTCGACTGTTAACAGAAGTCACACAGACCATTCCTAACCCTTAATTCCTCGGCAGAACAATTTACACAAACCAGGAAAAGGAAAGCTCTTAGATGTAGAAAGCAAAACCTTATCAGGACAGATGCCTAGCATTTAGGAAACAGTTTGGACACAGGAAAAAAATAATCTCATTTCCCCATGATGTGGCAGCAGAGAATAGATCAAAAAGCATCAGACAAAGGAGACCAGCAGGCGGGTAAAAAATGGGGAGGATTTTCACATTCAGAGGCATGGGGGGAAAAAGCAGGCAACTTGCTGCCAAACAGAAGAAAGATGCATATGTTTTCTCTGTATTAATCTTAGCAACAGCTCTAAGCCATTTACCATTCTGTTCAATAGCACACTAATCTCTGAGCCATTTCTTCCTCTTTTGAATATAAGGGAGGCATGGGCTTCGTCGTAGCTCCAAAGTTTTGCATGTCCTCCCTGTACCATCCTCTCTTCAATTCTCTACAGTATCTAATTTAATTTACTTTCCTGGACATGCATTGAGTCTTTTTTACAGTCAGGATGGTGCTAGGTGCTGAAGTGCCACATGAAAATATGCAGAACATCTTTGTTTATTCAGCCTTACCTCATGGGTAAAGGGGGCGATAAAATGGATTGCTTTCTACAAAGGTATTTTTCCAGTCTCGGGTTATTTAGTTTTGCCATACACAGCTTCCTCTATTGGATTTCAGAACATTCCTCATAGCCCTTGATTTTATGGCTTTTCTTGGCAACAGATAGTCTCAATATACCTGAGAAAACTCCTCCTGGATTCTACTATTAATTTCTAGCTGACTTTCCCTCTTGCAGATAAGGCAGTGTTTAACTGCGGTAATGCCTCTGATCCAGGATCTTCATGATTTGCATCCTTAGAGTCATGATCACCAACACCTACTTCTCAGGGACTCTTGAATTCTTCTCTATGCTCTGTCTTGCTTACAAACACTTTTAGCTGGGTGTTTACACAGAAACACAGGTGTGCGTGTATATATCTTTTGATCTCTTTTCCGCCAAGGATTTGAGACAGCTGGAGGAATACATAAATTTGAAAAATGATAAAATAAGAATCCCAGAGCCCGGGAACCCAAGGGAAGGGACATATCAAACTGGACACTGCATAAATGAGTTGCATCATGAGGGGAGGGGACCACAGATTGTGCATTAAGCTTCTCAGCTGGCTGAAGCGAAGGGAGAAACACCATCCTCAGAGTTCCAAGCCTAGAAAGGTGGGGTCGAGCTTGTGAAGTGTAGCTTTTCTGGATACTGAGCAGAGAGAAGTCCTTCCTCTGTGAGGTGTATAAGAAGACTTATAGGCTTCCCACAGTATTTTCCCATAAAGTGCTTTAATGCAGGCTGACGTCTTGATAACCAGAGGCCGTTCAGTTAATGCTAAACCAGGAGGAACCCAAGTCTTGCCCTTGACGATAGCCAGTCTCCTCTGTCAGAATGAGGCTTTCTTCACTCCATTCTGTCCGGCCTAGGACTTCCATCCTGGGACACAACCTTAAAGCAGTTCATTTAACATAGAAGCACTTAAAATTTTTTTCAAAGATCAGTTCCTTGTCATTTAAAGGAGATCTCATAAGGTGAGAAAACAAGTTTATCACAGATAAATAAATGGAAGTTTCTATCAGTTCCTCAGTATTTCTGTTTTACTATTTAGATCTTTAATCCAATTTGATTTTAGTTTAGTGCATGGTGAAAGATATGGGTCTAATTTTAATCCTTGGCAGGTTGAGACCCATCTGTGCGAGTGTGTGTGGCAATGTTAAATTTTTATGGCAGTCTCTAAGGGCTGGCTCTCACTCTTGGTCCCACTCTGCTACTCTTGGTGCACCTAGGAGTACACCATTCTCAGACCCCAGAGAACACTCTGGGTGGTGCATGGGAAGAAGCCAAACACAAACTTGGAGTTTGCGCCAAGTGAATTGGAAAAGTGCACACAGGAAAGGGAGAAAGAGAAGAGTCAAAGATTGATGGTACCAAGATGGAGAAGCAGGGAAAGAGAGAGAGGGAGAGAATTCTGCTGTGAATATGTTCAGCTAGAGACGTTTGCATTTCCAAGGGAAGAGGGCAGGCAGGGACTTTCAGCTGAATTCAAAGTCAGAAATGTACATTTGAGGAGCTGTGAAACCCTGGATTTAAAACCTCAGACAATCTGAGTAATCTAGCATGTACGAGGTGTGATAAGAATCCGGCGTTTAAATAAAAATAATCATTACACCAAAAAACACGTTGCCGTTCATTCCCTCCAATTCCCAGTAGCTTTGAGCACCCTGATCCCGCCATTCCTGCCGCTTTCTGAAGCAGCTCTGGAAAGTCTTTTCTTGTATCTTTAGTTGTGCTGTGGTGGTTGCCTTGATGTCTTGAACTGCTTCAAAACATTGACCTTTCATGGTCATTCTGAATTAGGGTAAGAGCCACAGTCACACAGTTAATAAGGTGGATGAGGACGCACTATAAAGTTTTAGGACTCTTCTGTTTGATGGTACTTGGAAGCAGCATTCACTATTTTTTTTTTAATCATATCCGATGAAGACACAAAAGTATTTTTGGGGGGCACTTAAGGGCAATATGTGTTTTACTATAATACACTTTAAAAAATTTAAACATTCCCCATACTTTTCATTCACCCCTTGTATTTTTTTTGGTGTGGGAACTGAACTTGGGACCTTGTGCTTTTGAGGCAGGCAGCAGCACCACTGAGCTGCATCCCCGGCCCCTACCCCTTGTATCTTTAATGACAGAAGAGTTGCCAAAACCTACTCCTGGGAGCTTTCTGTTGTGAGAGTTGTTGACTTCTCAGTCTCAGTGGCCAAGAAATTTGATTCCAGCATTTACGGCACTCCAAAGCTTCACAAAATGTGTGCTAAAATATCAAAACATCACAGTTCCGCATGAAGTTGTACAGGGTAGTCAATAAATAGACAGGGAATGAATGAACAAGGTCCCAAATGGCCCTTCAACTCTGAGTTTTTAAAATTCTAGTATCCACATTTCTTTCTATCCATGATATTTTGTTTGAATGATGCCCCCCTCAAAGGATATAGCCATGTCCCGGAACCTATAAGATGGGCCTTTTTTGAAGAAAAAAAAAGTCTTCTTTACACATGTAATGGATGTAAGCTTCTTCAGATGAGACCATCCTGGACTATCCGAGTGGACCCTAGATGCCACGACAAGTGGAGACACAGATGGCAGAGGGGAAGGCCCTGTGGCCACAGCAGAGGTTAGATGGTCGCAGACTCAAGCCAAGGAAGCCAAGGACTGCTAGCAACCAGCAGGAGGTGGAAGGGACCAGGACTCTCCCACTAGCACAGTCTTGTTGACAAACACCAGCCTGGGGCCAACACCTTCACTTCAGACTCCCGGCCTCCAGCATTGGTAGAAAAGCAACTGCTGCTGTTTTCAGCTGCCCGGTTTGTGGAAGTCTGTCACAGTAGTCTGAGGAGACTAAAGCTCGTATCTTAGCACATGCTGTTGCAGGGTTTCTTCTGGGGCTGAGCTTTATTCTTGCTCAGGGGTTCAGTGCACCCCTGGCCACACAGTAGCATTGCCCAGAGGCTCCTTTAGAATGCAAATGTCTGGGACGCATGGGAGAGATTCTGATTCAATAGGGCTTTGGTGTAGCCAGAGTGAGAACCACCGTTGAATCAGTCACAACAACATCATGGGATGTCGCAGAGGACTATCTGCACCTTTATTTTTCTTTTTTACCTTAGGAATTTGCTCTGAAGCTTAACATCTGGTGTCTTTGTGTCCATTCAGAAAGCATTCTTAGAAACTGGATGAAGCAGTTTCACATCAGCTTTTCATACGGAGCCGGTGGCACCGAGACAGTCCTATTTCCACACGAAAGGATAAACGGGAGCCGTGACAGGGCCACTTCTGTACACTCCTTTCTGCCCCCAGAAGTGCCAGGGAGGCATTGCTTTCTAGACTGACACTTAGCATTGCTTAACATTAATATAAATCAAAAAATTCACTTATAAGCCCTCCCTCCAAATTGTCTCCCCACCTTCCTTACAGTCCGATAATGACAACTGTGAATTTTTGCTGGCATGCTACTTCATATAAATTTTTAAAAATCTGCTGCAGAGATATGCTGTACAGAAGGGTAAGTTATATTTAGAGGGAAGAGACCTCCTAATTGTGGAACAAAGCAGCTCCTTGTACAGCCGCCCTAAATAAAGGTTTCTTTATTGTTGAAATTGTGTGACCTCCTGCTGTGTCTTTCTTGCATGTCAGTGAACAGTCATGAGGCCATGTGTGTGCTTGTCTATAAAGGCCGTTTGAGGAAGAACTCACTGCCCCAATGGACTTCCCAGGAAGTCTGAGGTCACACAGTCGGCTGGATGGAGCACATGAGCCCGATAAAGAGGATGGCTTTGTACTCTTGAAACAATGCCAGAAACTTTATCTCCTTCGTTGTACACTTTGGGTCATGTGCTAACGATGCGTATTTCTCTAACACTAATCCCCTTAATGATGGCTTTTCCCTGCCCTCCACAAGCCCCACAAGGTCCCGTGGCTTGGCAGCCCAGACAAGAATAAAAGCAACACAGAGTTTAGCTTTTGAACTGAGTTCAAGGCAATTAAAGTCAAGGACTAAGGAGGCGAGGAGGAGGCTCAGAAATACCAGCATAATGAGCGGTGTGACTGAAACACTCTGTAAATTAACTCAATTAGACAGAGCCTGATTTAACGGAGGAGATGGTGAGAAGCACCACCCTCATTAAATTTGGCTGTTAGAGGCGCTTCCACTGAAATTAAATTTGTGTTAGTCGTTTGAATCGTAAAATTGCATGTGGGTGTGCTGGTACGCATTTGGACACGCGTAGGTGCCGTGATTTTTTTGTGGGTATTTTTTTAAGAAGAGAAGAAAAGGCTGCAAAAAAACAAATACCAAAAAAAAAAAAATTTTTTTTTTTTTCAGTGGATGAATGCTTAAAAAATCAAGAGTGGAAGCCAAGGAGGAGGGCGAGGCAGACTGAAGGAGTGGAAACTGCGCACTCTCCCAGCTGCACAGCTATGTGTCCCCTGCGGTGGGGGCTCATGCTCGGCTGCCTGAGCTGTGGACTCTGGCCCCGGGCCTGGGCCCAGTTTCCCCGGGTCTGCATGACCTTAGACAGCCTGAAGAGCAAGGAGTGCTGCCCGCCCGTAGGTGTGGAGCCCACCAACGTCTGTGGCTCGCAGGACGGCCGGGGCCAATGCTCTGAGGTGCAAGCAGACAACAGGCCCTGGAGCGGCCCTTACGTCCTGCGTGACCGGGATGATCGGGAGCTGTGGCCAAGGAAGTTCTTCAGCAGGAACTGCAAGTGCACAGGTGAGGCGTGGTGCACAGGTGTGGCGTGGTGGAGAGGGAGGCTGGGGCTGCAGAAGGAGGACACGAGACTGTTAGCAGCGGCATCGGAAGGTAAAGCGGCTGATGCCTCGCTTCTGTCCTTCACTTCCTGTAGTCCTTCCGGTTGTGCTAACTACTTAGCAACAGTACACAGGCTGGGCCCAATTTTATGAACTCGTGCCAACATACCTTTGGCTTGTTTGTTGGAAGGGGAGGCTGCAGAGCTGGAGACCCAGCTTTGAAAGTCAGAACAAATCCCTTCAGGGCGGGTGCGCGGCCTCCCAGAGAGAGGCGGGATGTGTGGGCGCTTGCTGCAGGCATCGGAGTGGTTAGCACTGTGAGGCCGGAGCAGAAGGCAGCTGTTCTGGGGCCCTGACCTCAGCCCTTCCCATGATCTGAGCAGATCTCAGGCAGAGTCCGCCTTTCTCCTTAAAGCTCTGCCTGGGCCCTGGCTTTGGCAAAGTTGGGGAGAGAGGCAAGGTGGTGTGTTCTAGGAGGAAGGTTCTTAGTGGGAGACAGTGACTTTCTGTTTTTCTTTTTCTTGTCTTCATCCAAACGGGGCATCGCCAGATCTGCTGCCTGGTCTCCTGTTCTACCTGCCTCTTTGAAATCTCAGTGCATTTCTTATTCTTCTGGCTATGGGACTGCTCAACAGCTCCCCATCCCTACCTGTCCTGCTTCTCACAACCAGACATAGTCGTGCTAAGTGCTTCCAGGCCAGTGGGACGTCTGAAACATAAGCAGCAGCTTCAGCAAGGACACAGCTCTCTGGTGGCCCTTTTCTAAAATCTTTCTTCTATTGTCCTATGATGCCTGGGTATAGGAGAATACAGATAACTGAATTATGCAAGACTGTGGAGAGATGTTAGTAGGGAAGGTACCAAGGCCTGTGGTGCTGCTGATGTAGAAATGACAGAGCCAGGTGTGATGGCGTACACACCTGCAATCCTAGCATTGGGGAAGCTGAGGCTGGAGGATCTCTATAAGTTCGAGGCCAGCCTGGGCTACATACTGAGTTCAAGGCCAGCCTGAAGTACAGAATGAGACTGTCTAAAAAAAAAGGACAAGAAATTACATTAGTTTTTTAAACTCTAAAAGGTCTGGCTTTGTAATTGACTCAGGATCTTGAGCTTGCAAGGCAGATGTGGTGCCACTGAGCTAAATTCCTGGCTCATAAATAAGTAGATATGCATATATGTGTGTGTGTGTGCATGTGTGTGTGTGTGTGTGTGTGTGTGTGTGTGTGTATCAGTGTTGGGGATGGAAAGCAGTGCTTCATACATGCTAGGAAAGTGCATTACTATGGAGCTACACCCCTAGATCTTGCAAGTATATCTTTAATCATGGGAGTCAAAAGAATTTTTAGGTCCTAGTTTTCCCTGGGTACTAATCGTGACAAAAATTTTAATAGCATGTTGAATATATACTATCCATTTTTCTAAGCAATTGAACATTTGTGTCTGGGAGATATTGTCTCATAAAGTCTCCAAGATTTTAGTCTAACCAGGAGCACCAGATTCCAGAACACCTGTATGATCGGCTCCTACACTAACAGAGAAACGTTTTTGTTCAAACTCTCCAAGTACCTCTTTAGCACTTATTTCTATGGCAGTGGGTAACAAAGCACCACAACTCTCAAAAGTTGGGAATCTTCATTTTGTAGAATGTTGGAGAAGAAAATTTTAGTAAATTAAATATAATTTTCAGCATTTCTTCTCAACTCCTCCTTATATTTTTCACCTGGTTACTTCATTTTTAAAAGGTGGGGATGAAAAGGATAGGAAATGGCAGAAGAGAAGGGTGATTTCTCTTTCTCTTTGCTGAGGGGATGTTTGTAAGTTATGCCTCCAGAAGACCCAAGACTCTGAGGGCCCCAGTGACCAATCAAAAGGGATCCATCCCATGCTCCAAAAGGCAAAGAGCCCAAGCAGAGCTTGTCCTGGAAATGCAGGCTGTCACATGGCCACCGTTTCTCCTGAAGGAGCAGGGCTCCCTCGGGGCACAGGGTCTCCATCTACAGCCAGTGTCAAGGCCTCCACGTCCTCATCACCTCTGTCATCAGGCTGTGGTCACCTCCTCTCCATGATTTGCTCAGTCTAGACCCAGAACCATTGCTCTTTCCATACCAACTTTGTGTTTCATTTTTCAAGGAACCTTACAATGTATTATATCTGTACACTTAATTTCCAGGCTTTTCCTTCCTCCAGGTTTATTAAGGCAATACTAGTACACAAAACACTGCACACACTTAATATACATGATTTGGTGAGTTTGGAATGCACCCTCTCGTTACCATGACCACACCAAGCTCGTAAACATTTCCATCCCCTCCAAATGTTTCCTCTTGTCTCTGGGCTTGCTGTTTTTGTAAGAACATATAACACAAGTTCTGTGCTGTTAGCACATTTTTAAGTGCACAATAACTTACTGTTAATGGTAGGCAGGTGTTGCCAAGCAGATCTCTGGAACTTCTTCATCTTGTGTGACTGTAGGTTGTATTCACTGAGGAGCATCTCCCCATTCACCCTGGTAATTACTGAGTATTCTGTTGCCTACTTCTATTCACTTAGGAGGATTCATGAGGTATTTGTCCTTCTGTGACTGATTTATTTCACTTAACACAATGTCTTCCCAGTTAACCCATGTTATTGCAAATGGTAAACATTTCCTTCTCCTCTTCTTCCTCTCTTTCTTCATTTTCTCTTCCTCATTTGTCTATTCCTCCTCTCCCTTCTCCTCCTTTTTCTTCTTCATGACAGGGTCTCACCCTAGCCAGGATGGCTGTAACCTTGCCATCTCCCTGCCTTGTCTCCTGAGTGCTAAGATTACAGGTGTGTACCACCATAGCTGGCTTTTTCTTTTGAAGGCTGAAAAACATTCCATTTTGTTTCTGCTCCAACGTTGGAGGATTCCACTTACGTTGGCTAGATAGTCTGAGTATTGGAGTGCTGGACTGTCCTTGGAAGCTGAGCTGGGAAGTGGCTCTGTGTGCAATAATTATTTCATGGTGTGTCAAGTGTCCCAGAGAAAGACACATGGCGTTCAATTTTCTCCTCCTCTGAAGACTGAGCTGCTTGCCTTCCTAGGGCAACTTCCCATGGTTTGCAAGTAGTTGTTCACAATGAAACTTGATCTTGAGCCTTCCAAAGACCCTGGGCTCTGGCAGCTTTACACTTTTGCAGATGGAGGTCCTGGGACTCCCTGCAGCCATCCAGAATTTAAGGAAGAGGTGTGCGGTACATTCTGGCAATCAGACTTTTGATGAATATGAAGTTTATTGGATCCTTGGATGAATAAATACCCCACAATATCTGCAATCATGAATCTGGTAAAAGAAGTTTAGCCTAATCAATAAACAAATAAAAGCAAATGCAGACTCTGGGATTTAAAAAAAAACTCTTAAATTTTATATTCAAATTCTCTATAGAGAGCTTTTGTATTCTCTGCAGGGATAAATTGAAACAAAAAGAAACCATTAAGCTTAACCGTCAGGAAGAGCCACATTTCAGAAGACTTCGGCATTAGCCATACTCTCTTTAAGGCTTACTTTGCCAGTTGGCATTTATGAGATTATGCTGGACATAACTGTGTCTTTGGTCTTTTGAAAACTTGGGCCCCAATGAGTTTTTGAACAGTTGGCTGAGAACTTCTTGTTTGTACAAGTGACTAAGTGCCTCCACTTTCCAATTTCTAGAATGGGGATAATGATGAAACCCACACTTGTAAAATCTTTTTGAGCTCTGCAGATGAAAGGGCCTATGTCAGTATAAAGCATTGTTATTAAAATAATAGAATCTCTAATTAAAAGGAATAAGCTATTTAGAGTTCCTTATAAATTCACTAATCGGTGGTCGTTAAGCTTATTTAGTCTAATAGCTTTTTGAGGCTGGCCTGATGCAGCACATGTAGGAACGTGTAGGGTTCAGATGTTCTCACCCTCTATCCCTGTCTTAAGTAGGTGGAGGACTTTGACACTTTAAATATAATTTTTGCTAGAGGTCATGTGCTGTGGTACATACATTGGCATCATCTGCCTTCTCTTTCCATTTCCCAGTAAAATAACTATCTCTGCTAGACTTCCCAACTCTCCCTCTCTCTCTCTCTCTCTCATCTTACTACTGATAGATAAGAGAAATAAAACTCATGTTAAATTGATGTAGGATACTATCGGGAAATCTAAATTGAAGAAATGAGCACTTTATGTGCTTGGTTTTGTTGTTGCTGTTTCTCAGTTGTCTTCACCATTCTGACAAATTCTATTGTAGTCCGGGCGTAGGACCTAAAAAACAAAGGTTCCTGGCTGTGGGCCTTTGGTGTACTCTCTCTGAGACATGTTGGAAAAGGAATCCTTTTACTTGGAGGAATTCTGGGGTCACAGCCGCCCTGAAATCCGGAAGTGTGCTTTCTTTCCTGTTGGTACTCTACTCATCGCGTTTCGGGGCCAACTCTGGTTTCACTACAATTCCCCGTTCAACATCGGGCTGTGGAAAGCGCCTTGGATCCCGAGTCAGGATGCACGGCTTTGCTCTCTGTTCTACCCTGGAGCTTGGTTTATTCCCGTTTTCACTTTTCCCACGGTTGGACCTGTGCTGCCGTTCCATCGTGCCTACGTTCTTCGTCTCCACTAGACTCTGCCATTGTTGCTGCACTGCTCTTTGTACCTCTTAATGCTTAATGCCTTTAGTTCCATCTTTAATTTATTCCTTCATCAGCCAACTTTTTCTTGGCACTAATTCATAGTAGGCCCTTCCTGCACAGAGAAGGGGAAAGTGGCATGGTTTTGAAGGTGTGCACAGTATAGTGGTAAGAGAGACACGACACGATTAATCGCTGTCCTGTCGGCTGAGGAGTACCTGGTAACACTCACAGTAATCACACTTAATACAGCACTTCCTCTGCACCAGACACCATTCTGTGCGTGCCATAAGAATGTGTCTGTTTTCCTTACAAACTCTGGGAGACAGAACTCTTAAACGGGCTCTGAAAGATCAGGTCCAAGGTTACCAGGAATGGCAACTTGGCAGGACATACAAAGAGCTATGCGAGCCGGGCGTGGTGGTGCACATCTGTAATCCCAGCACTTGGGCGACTGAGGCAGGAGGGTCTCTGTGAGTTCGAGATCAGCCTGGTTGAGTTCCGGGTCAGTCTCAACTACATCGTGAGACCCAGTGTCATTCTCAAAAAACAAACAAACAAAGCTATGTGAGCACAAAAGGCATGTGGAGAATTAAAAAAAAAAATGTTAGGGTTCTATTCGAAAATCTGTACAAAATCAAGTCCAAAGTACGGAGAAGCTCCACGTTACCCTCCTCCCCACACTCACCCTCCCTATCAAGGTGCATCTAGTTTTGACTGCCTTCAGATAGCAGTTGTTTAAAGACATGAGGGAAACAAGTAGCCATGGATGATTTAGTTTCTTTCAGCCAAAATCACGATAAAGAAAGTAGTGTAGGCTTAAAACCCATGGTATGAGTCAGGGATTTGCTGTTTCCACAGTGAGATCCCCAAAACAATTCTATGTCTTAAAGTGTAAGAACGTATTGAATTTAGTGTTTTAAAATGTAGATGTGTTATTTTTTAGCATTTTATAAAATATTTCTTTAGAGCTGTTTAGATTCACAGCAAAATTGAGCAGAAAGGACTTATACCCTTCTCCTACCCCTATACCTTCTTCAGCCTCCACTGTGCACATCCTGCCCCAGAGTAATACAATTGCTACAATCAATATACCTACCCTGTGATGTTATCACCCAAATTTCTTAGCATTTTGAAGCAAGGCATTACTTTCCTATTGTGGGGAGGTGACTGTACATTTACCTCTAATCATCTGACCCTATTCTAAGAAAACAGCTGAAAGTCTGACTGAATTCTCATTTGGGTAGTTAGCATTCTTTAGACACAGCACTTCTAAAATTTATTTATTTAGTTTTTATTAGTATCTCTCTGCAGTACATAATGTCTCCATTCCCTGTGTGGATTTGGTATGTGTGACAACACATTATAATTCCTTTTTTCATCTCCTTCCCCTCCCCTTCCTCCTCCGTCTTTTGGTCCCTTCCCATTTGAGAAAGATCTATCTCCTATTATGCGTCCTTTTATCTGTCTTTAACTTTGCTCAGACACACAAACTTAGACAGTATTTTTGACATCTACTTCTCAAGAAAAGCCATATTCCTATAAAAGCCATGATAATAGGGGACATACTTTAATGAAAGTTGTTTTTAAAATATATATTATAGAATTTTAGCAAGATAGCCTGAGGGAAAATAAATAGATTCCAAATTCTGAGAAGCCCAAAGCAGCCTTACGGACCTCCGATGTTATAGTAGTTGTCTGGCAAGTATTTGTGAAATAAATATCATGTATTTAATAGTTTCCCTCCATCAATCAATATAAATTTCAATGTTTCACTCGAACTATTAAAAAAACCACAAGTTTTCAGCTGGAAATAGTAAAAATTTTCTGTTTAAATTTTTTAAACTTATGAAATACGAAAATACCAATAATGGACCTTTGTAAGAGTAGTAGCAATGTTTTGATATGTTACAAAAGGAGCAGAAAATGAAAATAACCAATTGTTATTATATTTAATTCTCTCTATTATATTTGTAATGCAGTTTTCCTTAGCCATCAAAAAAACCCTTGGGTAGGGCCAGGAATTTAGCTCAGTGGTGCCTCTGCCTGACTCGAAAGCGCTAGGTCCTAAATTTAATCCCCTGTACCCCCTCCCCAAAGAAACTCCCCCAAAACACTTGGGTTAATAAAAAGGAAGCTCTCCTTTCTTCAAGGAATCTAAAAATGCTGATTGCTTTGTTTTCATGCTGTTTGAAACTTCTTTCTTTTTTTCTTTTTTAGAGAGCCAATAACCCCTCTCTCCTGCAGACATAGTGCTACACCTAGCATATCAACACCTGAGGAACGAGGGCCTGGTTGTGCCCCAAACAATAATCCACAGTGCTCAGAAGGAAGAAGCAACCTTAGCTGGAACACCTTGAGCTCCTCACGAGAGGAGCACGGACAGAGCTGTGACACTAAGTCGCTGACAGCGGAAGCCTTCAGCTTTAACTTCCGGGTCATGGAGGCAGCTCATTCCCCTCAGAACCTGCCAGCCATCATTTCATCTTAATGCTCTCCTTTGTAAAATAAAGCAGTATTTTTAGAGTCAGAGCTCACCTGAACTCCTGGAAACCGGCATATTTATTATTTTTGCCCTTCTTCCTCTCTAGGTTGGTGTATTTTCTCCTCCTTCTCTAAGTCAGCGGACTGGTGTGTGCCAGCCCTGAGCTGTGTGTCATGCAAATGCCAGCAGAGCTTAGCCAGGACGCCCCTGGGGGCTGCTCTGCCCGCTGTGAGGGTGTGGAGAGGATGTCAGCAGGGCTGGCTGGCCCTGTGCTACACAAGAGTACTTTGTGTTGGTTTGCAAGGGCCACCATGACTGACTTGGAGGGCTTGCACAATGGAAATTTATGTCTTCTGGTGCTGGAGGATGGACATCTGAGATCAGGTGTTGGCAGGTTTGGTTTCTTGTGAGTCCTCTCTTCTGGGCTAATAGAGAGTTATCTTCTCCCTGTGTCTTCACGTGGTCTTCCCTCTGTGTGTGTCTGTGTCCTTGTCTCTTCTTTTCATAAACACACCGGTCACACTGGATATGTGGCTAAAGCCATGGGTTCTTTTTGCCTTGATTACTTCTTTAAAGACTTGCTCTCCTCACACAGTCCCATCCTGAGGTACTGGGGATGAGGAGTTGAACAATACATTTTGAAGGAGACATGGGTCAGCCTATTATATTTCTCTATGAATTGATATCCTCTTCCTTTGCCAGGGATATTTCTAGGGAACTTTTGAATGCTCGGTCAACTTGGATTTTGACAGGAGACTAAAGGAAGGAAATTGACTTTTTAATATTTTTGGCTTTTAACGCAGAAATCTATTTTCTCTTGGCTGTGGAGGCTGGAGTCAAAAGTCAAGTGTCAGCCAAAGAGTGGCTTCTCCTGAGGCCTCTCTTCTGGCCTCACTTCCCTGGTGTCTTCCCAGGGTCTTTCCTCTGTGGGAGCCAGAAAATGGCTTTTCTCTGCCCTTTATGTTCTCCTCCATTCCGTTTGAATTCTGGTTCAACAATGTCTTCCAAACTACATAACCCAATTTTTTCTTCCATCTTTCCCTTTATACACACTAGGAAACTTTGCTGGCTATAACTGTGGAGACTGCCGGTTTGGCTGGACTGGCCCCAACTGTGATCAGAGGAAACCACCGGTTGTCCGGAAAAACATTCATTCCCTGACTCCACAGGAGAGAGAGCAGTTCCTGGGTGCCTTAGACCTCGCCAAGAAGACCACACACCCCGACTACGTGATCACCACGCAGCACTGGCTAGGCCTGCTTGGGCCCAATGGGACCCAGCCACAGATCGCCAACTGCAGCATTTATGATTTTTTTGTATGGCTCCACTATTACTCTGTTCGAGACACATTACTAGGTAGGTTTTCCCCTTGGCTTATGTATGTTCTAATAGGCTTGTGCTTGGGTTGGGGAAGGGGGTGGTAAGTCATTTGACACAGGTTAATTAGCAAGAGAGCAACCTCAAGGCAGGGTTATGTTTGTGAAGGTTGCAGAATTACCAAATACTGCCTGAAGTTACAAAGGATAAGTTTCTTCCTGTGCATACTGTACACACTTCAAATGTTCTCTCCTCTAGTTTATGTTCCTGGTTCAAAGTCTAAACTGTTTTCCATGATGCTATTAATCCTCAAAGGCATGAGTTGGTAAAGTGGAAGCAAATTCCTTTTGATTCCAGAAAAAATTACTTGTGAATCTGGCTGTAGCAGCCCTCTTTGACCTCTCCTTCAGATTAGAAGAATTAGCTGAACCAGTGCCAAAGCACAGGACACCTCTTCTTTGTGCAGAATTAGAGTGTTCATGTTGGAAGTGTGTGTGCCATAAAACTCACGTATCTTTAGACCTTTAGTTAAATAATCACTTAGGCACTGCTAGCAGGTTTTTGAGTTGCACCATTAAGGTAAAATAAGGTAGCTATAACCATCTAGAATTTTTCCTGCTTAGCTTTTTGGTCCATGGTTATGCTGGATGTTTGAGAAAATCGTGTGTCATAGTTACTTTTTCTCATTGCTGAGACAAAAAAACCCAACACTCAAAGTTAGAGGGAAAGATTTATTTAGCTTACAGTTTGTAGAGGTTTTAGTACATAATCAACTGGCTCCAAGGTAGGATGTCATGGCAGAGGGGTCTCACAGAAGAGAAATGGTTCATGGCAGGCAGAAGACAGTAAAAGCAAGCAAACAGCAACAAGCCTCTTTCTGTCTTTTATATCTTATGCAGGCTACCTACCTTTAGGGCGAGCAGTACTCACACTCTTAGTCCTAGCACTTTAATCCTAGCATTGCACAGTGAATCAATACCAGTAGCATGCACTGTAGATCCAGACACCCTGAAAAAGCCCCACCTGTGACCGCCTGTGGCTTTGGTGGTGGGGGACATCTAGACACAAAGCATAACACAGTGACCTGAAAATGATTCTTAAGAAATGTTGAGGATGTTTCCAGGTCCTAAATATTGATTGGGGCTGGTTAGGGCTTGGTCTGCTATGCAATAATTAATCAAACAGGTGCAGCTTTCTTCTCAGTTATTTATCAGTTAGGGAGAAGGCATTGATTTGTTACAGGAGAGTTTGAAGCCATTCTGGATCTTGTAGCTCATGGCCCACTCGGCTATCCCTCCTTCTGGCTCCCCTTGTTGGGGCGAAGGTGAATAAAGACATTGAGTTCCCTTGGAATAGTGAGAGTCTCACCTTGTGTCCTCCATCCTTGTACTTATGGCTTGATTGCTTGCTCCCACCCCTTCAATTCCCCCTCATTCTATTGTTGGAAGAACTTAAAACTTTGTTCTAGAGGAATATGTTAAAAAAAAACAAAAAACCAACAAAACAGAAACCCTGCATAGCCAACTTCAGAGACAGCAACTGAGCTCTCAGTCTGAGTCTTTTAAAAACCTGCCTCACAGGTAAGCATCTGTCTTTCTTTATCGATACATAAGGAGGCTCTTCTGGCTATCAACCTTGATAGTGTCCCTGTCATCACACTGAGGAATTTTTGCTTTATGAGACGGTAGTCTCTCGAGAGAAAAACAAAACTATAGTTTCTGGCCATATCTAGGAATTAAATTTATATTCATGTCTGTTCAGCTCTCTGAAGTTATTATAGGTACTTTGAAAAAGAACTAAAGTTAGCAAAAGTTTCTACATAACCATCAAAAGCTATAATGAAAGGGGTATGAAGGATGGAATAGGCAGGAAGGAGGGCATTAAATTGCCCAAAGCATTTCACGAAAATTGCCAGTTCCAGTGGCCAGCCAAATTGGTTTGAATGTATTTTTCTCTCTTCTGGGCTCCATGGCCACGCTTGTCAGCCAGTTGTTGTAACAGATTGATGGGTGAAGCCAGACTCCGTGGAAGTTCTTTTTGGTTCTATAAATGCTGTTAGGACTAAGTGCGCTTGAAGTTTATATTGCTAATTAAACTTTCTCTTACAGACTTATGCTTTTGTAAGGATAGGTTAAAGAATATCTTTTAAAAATCTATTTCATTTAGGTCTCAACAGGCTGTACTCTTGAATACTTTATTTATCTTAATGAATTGTTTAAAAATTAAATAGGTTAAAAATTAAAGGGTCTTTGTATGAAAACTGACTTCACTTTCCTGGCTCTGTGCTAAAAATCAGACTTTTAAGAGATGAAAGGGATTTTATCCTAAAAGTGCTAGTTGCTTCTGAAAGTCTTTTGTCATTATTGTTGGTGTTGCTTTAAAAAAATAACTTTTTTTTTTAAAAGGAAAAATGAAACATCATGGATTTATTGGCTGCGTGGACATATGGACAGATAAGGTTTAACATTTTAAATATTCTGTTCTGTGATCTCTAATATGTTGTCCAATTGCTTTAGGGCCAGGACGCCCCTACAAGGCCATAGATTTCTCACACCAAGGCCCTGCTTTTGTGACCTGGCACAGGTACCATTTGTTGTGGCTGGAAAGAGACCTCCAGGTTGGTTAAAACTATACATTAGGTACTTTTAATTAAAAAAATATCGTGTACTTGGGAGGCTGAGGCAGGAGGATAACTGAGTTTAAGACCAGCCTGTGCTACATAGTGAGTTCCAGGTCAGTCTCAACTACTCAGTGAGACTCTGTCTCAAAACACAAAACAAAACAAAAATATTGTGTATATTTAATGAGTACTGTACAACATGATGTTTTAATGGCCTTATCTTGGAATTCATAGTAAAGTGATAACAGTAGCCAAGAAAATTAGCATACTTAGCATCTTGTGTGGTCACGCTCTTACTTTGTCTGTGTGTTAAGAGTAAAATCATTCTTTTGGCGAACTACCAGGGCCTAACACAATGGTATGAACTGTAGTCCTCATGTGGTCTATTAGAACTCTGTATTTATTCATGCTGCATAATCAACCGTGTACATGTTGATCTACATGCTCCCTTCCCACTTTTCCTGTAGCAAGCACCAGCTTATTCTTTGCTTCTATGCATTTGGTTTATAGATTTCACATATAAGTGACATCATGTAGCATTTTCCTTTCTGTATCTGGCTTATTTCACTTAGCATAATATCCTTTAGGTTCACCTTTACTGTTGCAAAAAAGATTTCTTTCTTTATTAAGGCTGGACAAGAATGCACTGTGTGTGTATGTGTGTGTGTGTGTGTATATAT